GATGCAGCTTTTGAGCAACAAAAAATGGTTCTCTTGAAGCCAAAGCAATTTCATCTTCGAGCAATAAAATCAACATTGACTGTTGATTTAACTTTTCTTAAGCAAGTCCAGTTAAGTATGTCTTCAAACCCTTTGGTTTATGATATCAAGAATAATTCTTTTAAAGCTCATGATTCCTCTAAATTTAAATTCAAAAACAACCTATTCTATTTTGAAGGACGCCTATATGTTTCAGAAGGAGAAGCACATTTACGTATTCTTCAAGCTTGTCACGACTTCCTAGTAGTAGGACATTTTCGATATAATAAGACTTTAGAGCTGATATCTAGGGATTTTTGGTAGCCTCAAATGTGGAAGGCAGTCAAATATTTTGTACAATCATGTGATGTTTGCTCAAGATCAAAAACTCCTCTTCATCGACCTTTTGGACTTCTTTAGCCATTATCCATTTCAGAACAACCATGGTCTTCTGTTTCTATGGACTTCATCACGGATCTTCCAATCTTAAGTTCTTATGACTCTATATTCGTGATAGTAGATCGTCTTACCAAGATGGCACATTTTGTACCATGTACAAAATCTATCACATGTGAAGAAACAGCTAAGCTCTTTCTTGATAATATCTATCGCTATCATGAATTACCCAAGGATATTATATCAGTTAGGGGAACACAATTTGTATCAAGATTTTGGCGGACTCTTTTCAACATTCTTAAAGTGGATATAAAACTATCTTCGGCATTCCATCCTCAAACTGATAGACAAACGGAGCGTGTTAATCAAGTTTTGGAGCAATATTTAAGATGTACCATTAATCACCAATAAGATGATTGGACAACTATTTTGCCATTGGCAGAGTTTGCTTACAATAACACGATACATTCTTCTACAAAACAAACACCTTTCTTTGCTAATTATGGTTATCATCCACAACTTGATACTTTTGACTTTTTAAAAGTTGATAATCTTACTGCAAAAGATTTCGCAATTCATTTATCACAGCTACATACAACAATGAAGGCGCAGTTAAAAGAGGCTCAAGAATAATAAAAAGTCAATGCGGATGTCTATCGAAAGGAACAACCATCATTCGTCTTAGGTGATAAGGTATGGCTACTTCGTCGTAATATCAAGACCACTCGTCCTTATGACAAGTTGGACTATCAAAGGCTAGGACCATTTTCTATTTTTACACAAATTAATCCAGTTGCATATCATTTACATCTACCGGAGTCAATGAAAATCCATCCAGTATTCCACGTGTCTCTTCTTGAACCATACAAGACAGTGGACATACCAAGAAGACGACAAGCTCCACCTCCTCCTATAGAAGTGGACAATAATGAAGAGTTTGAAGTAGAAGAAGTCTTAGATTTAAGGCAGCATCGAAATAAATTGGAATATCTTGTCCATTGGCGCGGACATGGTATTAGTGAACGCACATGGGAGCCAATAAAGAATCTTGCAAATGCAGCAAAGGCAGTGGAGGCTTTTCATCGACGACATCCATCAAAATCAAGATGAAAACCTTCTTTATAAAAGAAACAACATCTAGGCAAGATAATATTCTACTTTCAATTCTTGTTCGTAGCTTTGTTGTAGTAGTGACGCTCTGGAGATGGAGAACCAGCAACCAATGGATTCAACTCAAGAGCCTTCATTTGCTGATTTGCCGGACGAGACATTACGATTGTCACAACTTTGAAGATGATGCAATCGAGATAAAGATCTTCAAGAACGACATGTTCTTCCACGAATAGATGGCGAGATACAATGCGTTTGGTATCACGATTTGGGAAGGGACTCCCGATGTTTGGTGATTTTGCTAGAGGTAGGAACAACTCCTAATGGTGTTCCAAATATTCTATTCGAAGGAAGTTACGAAGGCCTCAACAATAATCAAATAACTGGGTGGTCTTCCCGCCCTGGTATGGGACACTACCAATGGTTGAGAGGCCCTATCAATCATCTTCGAAGAGAACAAAGATCAGAGTATGTGGCAAATACAATTTGTCGCATCATAGATTGTTTCAACATATGATGACCACTCTTTGTGGAACTCGTCCTTAGAAGGAGGGGTAATGTCATGGACATAATCATGTAAGCTAATAATTACATATACAAATAGATAGAAGTAAGTAAAAGTAGGTAAAAGTAAGTCAATTCTATAGTATTTAATATGGAAGCTTCCTAGAAGCTTACTAGATACTGCTTTGACTTCATAGGTATCTTTAATTGACTTTTTGGATTAGAAACGTGGTCAACAAGTTGGCCATGTGCCACACATGTTGTTAGCTTAAAGATCAAGCTAATTATGTGGCTGACATGTAGAAAAACTTGCCTTGTAAGTCAAAGCATGTGTCCTACAAAGTCAACACATATTAGAAGTCCTATAGAACGTCGCCATGTAGCCCGTAGTTAGATAGTATATATAGAGACAAGAGTGAAGGCTTCTTCACTCTTGTCAACTCTTTTCTTGCTTCTAGTCTAGTTTCAAGGGTGTCTAGTTTTCTTGTCTTTTGGCAATAGCCATTCTAGTTTCTTTTTCAATATATATACTTGTTTATATATATTTTGTTACCTCTCTTTGAGTGAAGGCTCACTTGTCTGAATTTTTTTTTCATCGAGTTGTTGTCCTTGACAATAGCATACTCTTGATTTTTCCTCAAGACAATTGAAAGCTTTTTTTAACCTACAAACAAGATATTTTTTGCCCATCTATGTAATTGTTGGAATTGGTCTTTGTGGATATATATATATATATATATATATATATATATATATATATATATATACATATTTAATTCTTCATTAAAAAGATGACAATTTCTAAGTTAAATTTCAATAAGTTGCTAATAGTGGTGAATTTGGTAGTTGACATAAGTGTCTCATTGAAATCAATATTAGTCATATGTGATTATATTTAGGTGATTAAACTTATCTCATATTATATTAATCTATGTTATGCATCTTTGAAATCAATATTAGTCACTTGTGAGTATATTTGGTTATTAATCTTATCTCATAATATAATAATTTATGTAATGCATCTTGTTTAGTTCAAATTATCTATTGGCAACCAATTATTGTAAAGGAAGTTGAATTAATTTTTATATATTATTTTTTACTTTTATGGATTATTAAGGATTACATATTCTACTTTTGTGGATTTTTTCTAATTGATTTGATTCTTATAATGCATGGCATCATACAATGTTAATACGTCAACAATATATGAAATGAAAATATTTTTTTTATATATATTTTAGAAAAATAAAATTCTTCTATTATGCACCAAGTAGTCGCTTCTCTCATAAATATCTTCTTTTGCTAAAAAGCTAGTTCTCTTTTTCCACATCTTTTCAATCTCATACATTAGTTGTCGTGTCTTTTTTTGTATTTTTTTGAAATGAAATAGCCTTCTTCTTGCTTGTACTTTCTTCTTATTCTAATTTGTTGATACTATTAAATTCTTTTTCTTTTAGAGTAATAGAATTAGAAGACGTGTTTTCAAAAACTTGCTATTAATTCTAATTGGACACATTTCTAAGTAATCACAAGAATTCTTGTATTCAAAAAAATTAACATCATAGAAGAAAAAAAAATTAAAAAAACATTAACTTTTTTGATGATGTGATTAAAAAAATACTTAAATATTTTTTAGAATTTCTTATTTTTATAGAAAGGATTTTAAATAATTTATTCTCTTTTTTAAAAAAAAATCTATGAAATTAATTGCATGTTAAATCTTTATATGAATTTCAGTCTTTATTTATGTATAATTTATTCATAACTCAATTGACACAGTTATTTTAATAACATCATTTTAAAATTTCAAAGTTTAATTACGTGTACCATAAGAAGAAAACACATTACCTGCATGTGAAAAAAACATAAAATAAATAGTTTGAAATAATTCTTCACAACACAATTACCTATTATGCTTTTGGAAAAAGTTAAAATATGTATTTATTTGAATTCAATAAGTGCCAGGAACCATCTTTGCATTGAACCATGGCTTAGAAGCCCATGAGCTGCCCTCTTCAGATGGACAACCTCCAGGAGCTCACCTTTCAAATTTGTCACTCTTACAACCTCCACTACTTCTTTGCACCATGACACTCACAAACAAGTACAATAACTCATAGTTTTCTTGCACCAACAAATGGAAGAAGCAAATAAATAAAAATAAATAAAATGTGAATAGAAAGTGACGGTTAATGATGTGAGATTATTGAATTGATGAATATTGTGATCACATTCAACATTCCCTGAGTGAAACTTATTTCTCATCCAGAGGTGCCTGAGCTGAAATCTAGTCATGGATAAGATTGGTGACTCTAATCATGGATTATCACGCTAACAGTTTAAACTTTTTCCGTGCTAGCAGTGAAACCTCTGTTATCTTTCAGGCTGTTAGGATCAGACATAAATGTGTTCTGATTTGCAATATCACGTTTGGTTCGTATGCATTTTCTCTGAGATATGCGGATTGACGTTCACTTCATTACAGCAGTGCATATATCACCTTGGTCAAGCACAGCGACAAATCTGCATGATATTAATAACGTTGTTATAGTGTAAAATATGTTTCCCCACTGGTTGAATTGAAGGGGCTGAGAGTTCGGCTTGCTTTTGTCTGCATTGTTATTGAGTGGCCGTATTTAGAGTGGTCGCAAGGGTTATTACAGATGGGGAAATTAGAACAGAGAATTTCCTACGGCTGATGAAGTTGGTTGTAAGGTTTAGTACACATGTTTATGGCCAGTAAGACAATGTAATGTTGAAATAGTTGAGAACCAAAGAGTACTCTTCAGCAGGCCCGCAGATTCAATAAATATACATAGCCATTACATCAAAACTTTCACAGGTTGGGAAACTAACCTCACGCGTTGATGTGGAAATAACCATAGGCACGAGCAGAGAGCGATAAAGAAGAGGCAATGACATCCAGCCCAGAAGAGCGCACCAGTAAGTAGAGTAACCATGACAAACACGGGATCTTGGAATATGACTGGTATTCCAGAAGGGTTCAAACAACAACAGTAAAGATGGCGGACACGGCACACCTACACAATACTGCGTGATCCTTCTTACAGAGCACTACAAGCTTGGTGATCCTAACCACAGATTCTACGTCAAGCACAGCTGAAACATATAAAAGCCGCTTGATCGTAAAATCAGCTCCTAATTCGCCAGCTCGGCACGCAATTGCTTGGCGGCGTTCACCATGTTCGTCAACGCTGGCACAACCTCGGCATACTTCCTGGTCTTCAGACCGCAGTCAGGGTTGATCCACAATACCTTGGACTCCAACACCGCCAACATCTGCACATGTTCACACATCATCAGCACACTACGTTGCCAACGCCATCCCCGGAAACACCAGAATAGATTCAATGACAAGTTCATATTCAATGAAAATAGATGATGCACATTACCTTGCGAGCACGGTCAGCCATCTCCTCTGTTGGTGGAATGCGAGGGGAGTGAATATCGTACACGCCGGGACCAATTCCAGCTCCGTAGTGCACACCCTCACGGAACACACTCAGCAACTTCTCGTCCGATCGCGAGTTCTCAATCGTGATCACATCGGCGTCCATGTCAATAATGCTGTGAATGATATCATTGAAATTCGAGTAGCACATGTGGGTGTGAATCTGGGTGGTATCCTTAACTCCACAAGTCGTAATTCTGAACCCGTGCACAGCCCACCTTAAGTAGTCTGCGTGCTCGGACTTACGCAGGGGCAGTCCCTCGCGAAGGGCAGCCTCATCGATCTGGATCACCGTAATGTTAGCCTTCTCCAAGTCCTCGACCTCGTCCTTGATAGCCAGTGAAATCTGGTAACAGGTCTCTGACCTGGGCTGGTCGTTCCTCACGAAAGACCAGTTCAAAATTGTAACCGGTCCAGTCAACATGCCCTTAATAGGCCTCTTGGTCACGCTCTGAGCGTAAGTCGACCAGTACACTGTCATGGCCTTCGGCCTGCTCACGTCACCGAAGATAATCGGGGGCTTAACGCACCGAGACCCGTAAGACTGAACCCACCCGTTGGCTGAGAAGCAGAAACCATCCAACTGCTCGCCGAAGTACTCAACCATATCATTCCTCTCTGGCTCTCCGTGGACCAGCACATCAATGTCCAGCTCCTCTTGCAGCTTCACCACACTGTCAATCTCTGCCTTGATGGCCTTGTCATAATCCTCCTCTGAGATCTTCTTGCTCTTCACCTCACGCCTGACCCTGCGGAGCTCTGGCGTCTGGGGGAACGATCCGATCGTGGTCGTCGGCAGGATTGGCAGGTTCAAGTACTTCTGCTGCTGTTCCAGACGGCTTGATACCGGGGTAGATCGACGGTGCTCCGAACCGGCCAAAGCAGCGGCCTGAAAATCCAGCATCCTTTGAAAGTCAGTTCTGTATCTAACTAAGTAAGCATGCATTCTGTGCAATTACATGCACTGCATTTAAGCTTTATACTGCAGCAGGCATTCATACTCCCTATTCGAGTACAGCACCACGATGCGCTATCGGCGATCACACATCATTATACTTACTGCTTCCTTCACTGCCTTGTTATGAACGCGGGGGGAGTTCCTCCTCGATTCCTGAGCGGAAGCGTTAGCCGCGAAGAAAGCCTCGTCTTTCTGTCCCGACACGGCCTTAGCGACCGCCACTACCTCCAGCAGCTTCTGTGCGGCGAATGCCATCCAGGACTTCAATTCGCTATCCAACTTTGTCTCGTTCTTGAGGTCCACTGCGGAATGGAGCAAGGAGCATGAGGTTGAGACAACTACGTTATCCTTCCCAAGCTTAGCCTGCAATTCCTCAACCACGGCCACAGAGGCAGCCAAGTCGTTGGCCCAGATGTTCCTTCCGTCCACCACTCCGGCAAACAAAGTCTTCCCCTCAGGAAGACCGTGCTCCTTGATTAGGCTCAAGGTTTTGTTGCCGCGGACGAGGTCCACCCCGAAACCGGCAATTGGCAAGTCACACAAAGTCCTGCCCAAGTCATACAGATGCGGTCAGTCACCCCTTCACAATGCTAAAATTTCCTTGACAGCGTTGAGTATGAAATTGATCGGAAGCAAACAATGCAGGGAACCAAATCATCAGACTACTTACTTGTAGGCCTCGGCAGGCAGGTCGGTGAAGTATGTCTCCACCAACAACTTCACTTGAGCTACCTCCCCGAGCACAGCGTATGCCTTCTTAAAAGCTTCGTATTGGCTAGCTTCAAGGTCCATGACTAACTTTGGCTCGTCCAGTTGGATCCACGACGCACCAGCTTCCTTCAGCTCTGTAATGACTTCCCTGTGGACACAGAAAATCCGCGTCTACAGATAAGCCCAGAGCATGATTCAATACTGCTAAGAGAACACAAACTGTTGGGACCATGTGATCAATCCATTGAGTTCATGTAAAATGCAATAACTTACTTGTACACGGGAAGTATGGCATCAAGAAGTGAAAGAGTATTGAAACCCTTGGGCGCGCTCTTGTCACCCTTGGACAACAGCAGATAAGTCACTGGACCTATCAGCACGGGCACAGTGTCTACGCCAAGCTGCAATGCAGATATCAAGCAGGGAAAAAATATCAGATTCATATCAAGGTACCTACGACACTCTGCAAGGTCAGGAAAGCAATCTTCGACTCGAACATCCATCCCATCAATCCCGACGATATTCAACACACTGAAAACGCACCTCCTTAGCCTCCTTGTACTCGCTCACGGCCTTGCGTGAAGAGTAAACAAACTTTGTCTCACCGCTCAACTCTGGCACAATGTAGTGGCTGCGCGCAAAAACGATGCACAAGTTACAACTAAGACCCGCGCTCAAAAAATTTGAGGATTCCAGTCTCCTAGAAGACAAACGGTTGACGAATGATTAGTGAAGTTGGTCACTTACTAGTTGGTATCGAACCACTTGGTCATCTCCATGGCGGGCTTCGTCTTGTTTCCACGGGCCATTGAGAAATACACATCGTGTCCAATCTCTCCACCCGTCCATCCGTAGCGAGCGGGCACAGCTCCAACCATGGCGGTAGTGTCCAGCACCTGGTCGTAGTAAGAGAATGTGTTGCTAGGAATCATGCTCACTCCAGCCTCAGACATCTGCTTCCAGATCGATGCGCGCAGGTCCTTGGCAACCTGCTCCAAATCAGCTGCCTGGGTCTTGCCATCCCACATCGACTCAAGAGCAAACTTGAGCTCCCTCTTGGGGCCCATGCGGGGATATCCAACCACGTGAGAAGTCATGGTTCTTGAAATCTGTGAGAGAGGTGCAACACATTAGCCAACGAAGATATACCTCGGTTCGATACCGAACGAGATGCACCAACGCATCATTCAGTTACGTACACTAAACCACCGAGTAAACACGCAAGATGCGCCGCACAACATTGCACATTCTTCAAGCCACTCGGACGAAGAATCCCCGCATGCAGTTCAAAATGCAACTTGATAAATCTTGATAGTTTCAATATCCAACGCTATCAAGATAGATGTATTTGGATTTAAAGTGCACATGGAGAAGAGGACGATCTCGAGCTAGTGGAACGTGGACGAAGAGGGGAGAAAACTAAAGGATGCAGTTTAAGACAGCAAACAGCAACAAGCTCCAAGAAGACTCACGACACAACTCGATACAAAAGTCTCAGATCTGAACCGAGCCACACTCTGCTAAACCCTCGACATAGATATCGCGAAGCAGGGCGGACAAGCAACTACGGCATCGTGGGGACCTCCAGAATGCCTTCAACGGAAACAACCCACAACCCAGATCTCTAAACCCCAATGGAAAATGCAGGACACCCGCTACAACCCACCACCGGCCCACACGAAAAACCTTGTCGGCGGCCTGGAGAAACCACCAAACCCACGACAATGCACCGCTATCGGAGGAATCAGAGCGCGACCCACCTGAGGGAAAAAGAGGTAGAAGCGAGATCCGGCAACAACTGGGGCTCAGAGGATCCCTGTCAACGATAGCGGAGAGGAATCCCACTGTAAAGGAAACAGAGAAAGAGCGACGGTGGCAGGCGACGGCAGCGGCTATAAAGACTTGGGGAGGGGGGGGGGGGTGCCGGTCTCGGTGGGGCAGCGATATTAGTGTTGCCAATTGGGAACCTCGATAAGATGCCACAAATATCCCGTTTTTTTATAAATTTTAATTTGGGTAATTACCGCATGTGCGAGCGTGTGGGTTTGCAATTCCACTTATCCATCGAAACGTCGAATGGGAAATCATCGTCCATTTGGCCCCCGTCTCCCCCTGTTTCTTCCTCACGGCGGACGCTAATGGATAAGAGAATGTGAACATACCCTCCCTCGCCGCTTTCGTCGAATGGGTTTTGGTGGAAACCTTCGGGATTTCTCTTAGGGTTTGTTGGAGGCAAGCCCTAAAAGAGGCAGTTGTGGGTGAATGGGGCTGGGAATGAGACGGGTTGGGTTGGATTGTGGTATCAACTCGTGCGTTTTCATCTGATGGAATGGACTTGTGATTGTTATTCTTGTGGTGTTTTTCTTCTTTCTTCTTCTTCTTCTTCTTATTATATATATATATATATATATATATTGTTTTTGTTGTGGGTTTAGTGGTACATTGGTCATGGAACAAATTTTGTGATGCAGTTGGTGTGTTGATGGTATATTAATGTTTTTTGTTGTTTATTTTAGTTTTTTACTACCTTTTTATGACTTTTAACAAAGATTGTTATGATACAGTAATGAAGATTAAAAATAAGACTTAATTTAAATTTATAATTAAAAATAAGACTTAATTTAAATTTATAATTAAAAATAAGACTTACTTTAAATTTATAATTAAAAATAAGAAAATCAAAAAATAAAAATGAGAGGTTTAAAAAGAGATCAAAAATTTAAAACATGATTCTAACTACACATAGAAATGTTGTATTACATATAGAAATGTTGTATTAATTTTAAACAGATTCAATGACAATGAGATTTAAAATTGTAAGTTGTAGAATTAATATAAATAGTAAATAAAAAACTACATACAATCATTTGAAATAATACATTTCGATTCTTTAAAATTATTCTAAAATATATTTTTTAATTTATACAAGTAGAAGGAAAACTGAGTAAATCTTCGATTATATAACATTTTTCTACCAGATTACAAAATAATCACAGCTTAAAACTAAATGTACATTTTGAATAAAAAACTTAAATGTAAAATTTATCTCTATTATACATACATATGTATATATATTGAAAATTTGTGTGTGTGTGTGTGTATATATATATATATATATATACAGAGAGAGAGAGAGAGAGACATTAGATTTGAATTGATTCTACAAAAGAAAGAAAAACAAAAGAAAAGAAAAATTACAAAACAGAACAAAGTTTCAAATTTATTGTAATTGGAACATTGGCTATGATTTTTTTAATTAAAAATAATAATATTTGTGTTAAAATAAAATAAAATTGATAAATTTGTCCAACTAAAATATATGAATTATATTTCTATCCATATATATTTAAATATATAAAATTAAATTTAGTTGCATTTTATTTAGAAACACAATTTTTTGTGTACAAATATTTAAATTTTTATAAAAAATAGTTTATTAAAACTTTTAAGAATATTTAAAAGATGCATATGTACAACCTCTTTAAATACAACTCAAAATGCTCTAATAAATATAAAAAATAATGTATAATTGTATTTAAAATTTATGGTATGTACTAAATAAACACTTAATTATAACAATGTAAATAATCAAAAAAATATAAATAGTTTTTGAAAGTTAATTTACCATATCAACTCCTAAATTCACAATAATTGAATGTTTTAGTGTAATTAAAATCGTATTTGATTTTAAAATAAATAAATATTTAAATTTTTGTAACATTTTTGTTTATTCATTTTTCAAACTGCTATACCTTGCCTAAAGTGACACATTTAATTTTTGTATGATGCTAGCAGTGAAATCCAACTACGAGTTGTTGTACAACTTGATCATTTTGTATTAAAAAAATTAGATTTTTTATAAAATTTATTTTAGATCTTTAGTATCTTCAATTCCATATACATGCTGTATAATTTTGAAGTATCAACCATTGCTAAGAAGAAAAATAAACAAACAAAGAACCATTGACATAACATTCAAACAAAAGCAATTTATTATATCTTGGAACCAAAAGAATAGAAGCATGAGATTTTTCTCTTTCTTTTTCTTTTTGCAATCTTGAAACAATACATTTCACATTAAATGGATATATGAATTTATTTGTAGTTTAGTGTCACACTACACTGAAAAGTTGTGATCCATTATAGACCACTAGAGCACAAAACCCGTCACTCCTGTAAACGAAGAAAAGTTACAGCCCCAAGACTTCGAATTTGTACTAAGACCCATGGCCAAAAGTTATACCTTTCTATTATAACCAACTGTTGCTTTTTCGAGGCACAATTTGGAGCAGAAAACTTAAAATTTACAACACAAATTATTTTTTCAAAGCATACTTACCATACATTAGACATATCCCATTGAGCCTTCCATGGATGACAAGGAGTCTTCGATCCACAATTAACAGTGGCAGTCCGCTCTGGATATACTCGATATGATAAGTTTGACACAATCCCACAGTTCCTTAACGAACAAAAGCAAGACCCAAAATTGCACTTCCATTGCTCAGTTTATCATCAAATAGAGGGCATAAGTCACACTTTCATGCACAACCTGATGTTCAATGGAAGCTCAATAGTTTCACTTTTGTTGCACAGTTTTGTAAGCAAATGTAGAATGACTCTTTTATGAGTTTGTTTGTTTTTTGTTTTATGTTTTTTTCCATTTTAAAATGTTTTTGAGCATACCGTGAGTTTGACTCTGGCAATAGGGGTGGTGATTCCGAGGTAAGGATGAGACTTCATGTCGCTTCAAGTCAGAGTGGTCAGCTTCCAGCGCAATAATGCTCAGCAACTGCTGCGGAATCGCAGAGAATGATGTGGAGGCACGCCATCCGAGACATATTGCTGCAGCAGCAGCATCTAAGGCATCTGTGCCATCTGAACGTCAATCAAGCACCGATGCTAGGCGCAGTAGCCTGCAACGCACTCCGGTGCAACATACCACCAGGCTGTGAGGAGCGATGGCTGTTACACCGACCACGGCTTCGGTAGTGGCTTCATCGACTGCCAGCATCGAGCACACGAAGCAGTCCAGATTGGGAAACGAGGTAAAGAGCCGAAGATGGCGAGTTGCATCAACGGCAAACGCGTGCTAGTGTTGCCAGTGGTGCAGTATTTGAATTTACTGAGGTAAGCATCCAATTGATGCCTTGTCCGTATCTATCCATTTCCACAGGCGTGGACTTGTGCGATCACGCGCGAGTTGACCCAGATCTGCGCTGGCTTCAATACGCGAGACGTGGACGTGGGATCGGCGCACATTGTGGATCGATCTGGGTGGGGTAATGGTGGTGCGAGCGGGGTGCGGGAGGCTCAGGATGGTGTCCACGGGGGCGAGGAAGTGGGTGTCATTTCCGGCGCCGCCTATTCATGGGCATCCTTTGTCATCACAGCCTCTCCATCGCCGAGCTCGTCGGAGCTCCGACATGGAAATCCAGACAGATCTAGACACTCGTTGCCTATGGCTCAGCTTCGATGCCTCATTGGATTGCATCTAGTCACCAGAAGCAATCCGAGCCTAAGAGGAGTTCAATTTCGCCCACCCTGCTATCAATTTTCACCTTCATTCGCCATTTAATTTTTTAATTTGCTTTCCAAGCCTCGTGTCTTCCCAACTTGTGTCATTTTTTTCAACTATCAATATGTTGGTATATACCTCATAGGTGTGTCCTACAATTGAAAATATAATATTGCTAAAACAAGAAGTATAAGCAAATGAGATTTTGAATAGAATGTTTTAAAAATATGATCTTAATATTTGAAATAGATTAGATTTGTTAAAAAACCAACAAACAAATAACAATGGTTAACAAATGAAGTAGTGAGTATTTATTGACTACATAACATTTGTTCTAATGAGATGTAGGATTCTATATTATGAAATGTCAACTTAATAACAAAGTATAAATAATAATCTATTTATCGAAGACCATATTCATTTGTACGTTTTATTGATTATCAGCTCGTATAATCAATTGCTTTAATAATTGTTATTTGAAATAATATGATAATTACTAAAGCTTATTTAATAGTGTTTGAGGGATTTGACAAAAGTGCTTTAACAAATGTAAGATTATGAGCACAATTGTAAAAATTTAATGAATACATCAAAGAAAGATATATATTACTTAAAAGTTGTAATAGAAGAAAATATTATATGTTAAATATATTATATATAATATTTTTTTACATATTTGAGATATATACTTGAGTTCAAGTATTGTATCTTTAAATTTTTATATGCAAAAACTAATATTGAAAAAAAGTGTAAGATTCATTGATGGATTTGACATTAAGTCTATGATCTAAAAACTAATTTAACAAATATTAATAATGTTGAATGTTAGAAAAATAACATACATTTATTAAAATATGAAGCTTGATTTCATTTAAAAAAAAGATCAAGTGAAGAAAGAAATTCAAACAATAGTTGTTTATACAAAGATTAATGTTAAAAATATTAAAAATAATCATTAAAAGATAAAAAATATTTATTAAAGGTAATTTTTTTGAATAATTAAGAATATTTATTTAACATATAATTATTTGATGTAACAAGGATCAATATTAGTGATATAAATATTTTTATATTAAAAATTATCTATTTAGTTATTATTATTAATAATAATGGTTTTCTATAATTGATTGTTACAAACATATATATTCACTTAAATAAAAAGTATTAAGTAGAAGATAAATATAGATAGATTTGATAATATCTTGTTATAAAACTTCTCAGGAGCTTCACAAATATAGATTTGACTTTATATATGTTTATAATTGATTGTTAGATTAAAAATTTAATTAATTAGGTAACCATATATTGCACATATTATATGTATTAGTGGCTTGTGGTATAAACAAATCATGTGGTGTATATATAGAAAACTTACTTTGCAAGTTAAGATATATATCAAAG